GTTTACACAGCTACATTCTCGCCTGAAAATATGTTAAACGTTTATTTTGTGTCCCAGAAAATAAACATTTGCCGCCACTGTTGGAAACCGAGCAGGGCCGCGCTATGAATTCTGTGATAGGTTGGGCCCTGAAGCGACCCATCCTTCAAATCTGGGGAAATGAAGGGCACATTTGTTGGCCGCATTTGTCGGAGTCTTCGAATTTGGACAGTTTTCGTCGTGTCGCTGTAACATAATCGGCCTACAAATGCGGGCACAGGAGGATGTGCTTCCAGAATTTGGACACAGCTGCGATACCGGACACTGCTTCTTCTTCTTCGGGGTTTAACGGCAACTGTCACATGTCAGTTGCGGTGGTAAGATCTAACTTTTTCTTCGAAGGTAAACCTAACTTTCTGCTAGTAGTTGGCATCCATGCTAACCACCAGTAACCACAGCAGACAGCTAATGACCAAATCAACTGCAAGGAGGTTTTTGAAGCAGAACTGTCTTTGTGATTGATTTCACATTACAACATTCAGCAAACACTCGACTGGTCTCTAGGTCTGTGCGTCTGAGGTATGTTATATGTGGGTGTATTAATGAATGCGCCTGAAGTGGTTTGAGTACTAAGAAAGACTAGAAAACCAAAATATAAATAAATGCCAACCCACATAACATAAATGTCAAGCTTCTAAGACTGATTATGAATATTGTGAACACATGCCAGCTTTGCTTTCACACTCAGCTCTGCAGATTGTGCTTCAACCAAAACCTAAATTCCTCATTTTTAAAAGTCAAACTCAAAATTGATTCAACAGAAAATTCTAAATGGAATCTGAACCATGCACTGTAACTGCTTACTGCCAAAAATGGACACAAAAAGAAAGAAAAATAAGGCACTCAAACAACCATCGCTCTGAATTCCCGAGGAAAAATATTCAGCAGTTTGGTTGCTAGGTTACAGTAAAGGATAAGCTTCACTGTGAAGATGCAGTTTTGTTTTTTTCTTTTCTGTGTTTTTGAGATATTTGGACGTGCATGTGTGTGAGAAATGTTCAAAGTGCAAGTTTAACGATTCATTCTTCAGCCACACAGAAACATCATACAAAAGAAAAAAGAGGCATATTCAGAGGAGATCAGTCACAAAGGTAGAAGATTAAGCAGTCTAATGTAAATGCAGCAAACACTAACTTAATGTTGACAAAAAGAAAACAATGTTTAGTTAGACTCTGGAGCGGTAGACGAAACCAATTTGCTGCGAACGTGTTGAGAAAACGGGTTTTTCCTCCCTGTGAAGTAAAGTTTGACCGCAGGTTTTCACTTCAGTGCTACACAATGAACACTGAGTCATACCGAATCTGCTGATTGGCTTCACTGCGGATCTTGAGCACCTCCTTGCCCTTCAGCTCCAGCTCTTTAGTCAGGGTGCTGATGTTCTCGTTGAGCGTGTGGATTTGATGGTCCAGCTGAGCGATGTGGTTCTTCCTCCTCGTCACCTCCTCCTGCAACTCGGAGATCCGGCCCAACAGCTCGCGTTCCTGTGAAAAGAGAAACAATAAAAATCAGCACTGAAGAGATGAAGGACATAAAGGTTTAGCTATAAGGCTTGTAATGTTGATTTTAAAGCTTATCTATATGGTAGAATATTTTGGAAACTAAACTTTAGAATTTTTTAAAGTTGGTTATTTCGAACATGTTTAACACCTTGAGAATATTTTTTAAATCCACCATTAGGGTGAAACTTTTCAGATGAATAGGTGAATGCTGAACACAGCTGAATGAACAAAAATGGCTTTACCACGATGAAGCAATCATCCATCAGTGCACACAACGCAGAAAGCAACAAAGCCTCTTAACGAATATACTGAACAGCATTTTATCTTAAGTCCTACATTTATCCAGGACTTTAAATAATCTGGCTTATGTGTCTTGATTCAATTGTCAAAACCCTTTTGAATGTGTCCATAATTTCACATCCTTAAGAAGCTCACAGAGCCGAATTACAGCTTTTATCAAAAAGCGAACATATGTTTTGACATAAGTCTGTTGTATTTACTGTATTTTCTCAAAAAGCAACAGAGACTATTTATCTCAAAAGCAGAAGACTTGCAGCATCTTGTATTAGAGGCAGGTTTGGTATTTCTCACAAACTGTTTAAACCTTCTGTTTGCAGACAAAAGTTGGCTTAAAGGGAGAGAAGCTGTTTATTTCAGACAGTGGACGAGTAATCAAAAGGTTGCAGCACTATAAGATTAATAGGGGTTATTTTGAAGTGGGAATCGCACAAAGCCACATTCGCAGAGTTCAGGAAAAGGAGCATATTAGGTCCTCTTTAAGTAAATTTACTTGTTTCCTCAGGTAAATTCACTGCATGATATTGTTAAGGCAGTAATAAGCTGTGACCCCTCTTAAAATAGATCAGAAATAAATGTTAGATTGCCAAATTCTTTATTTGAACAACAAGCAGCACACCAGTGCCAAAAGTATTCGCTCAGCTTTCCCACACATATGAACTTGACTAAAATCCCATTCTTAATGGCGGCCAACCATTTGCAGCTATGACAGCTCCAACTCTTCTGGGAAGGCTTTCCAGAAAGTTTAAGAATGACCAGTCTTTTAGAAGTGCATTTATGAGATCAGATGCTGATGTTCACCGAGATGGCCTGGTTCGCATTCTCTGATCTGATTGATAATAAATGGTAAATGGACTGGTTCTTATATAGCACTTTTCTACTCTGAGTACTCAAAGCACTTTATACAACTTGTTCATTCACCACACCCATTCACAAGTTTTTTAGTGCTATCTAACTACCATTCACACATTCACACTCCGATGGCTGCATCGGAGAGGAACCTGGGGTTAGTATCTTGCCTAAGGATATTTGGCATGCAGACTGGGATTGAATCACCAACCTTCCAGGTAGTAGGTGACCCGCTCTACCACCTGAGCTGCACAAAGTTGCGAGCATGAAGTTGTACAAAGTTTCTGGGTAGCTGAAGTATTAACAGTTTCTTTAACTGGAACTAAAGGGCAGAGCAAAACTCCTGAAAAACAAGCCCAGACCATAAACCCCCTCCGCCAAACTTTACACAGATTTTCCATTGGCCTTCCATTTATTTGGGCTCAGGACACAACTTAACACTTCCTGTAACTCTTTCAAATTAAAAGCCTTAGTGTTTCTTCTTACCACAGCTTTGCAGGCATATACAACAAACACTGGAGAGGACTGTTCGTTTAGCTTGCACATTATAGGCAGCCCTTATTTGATCACTTTGTCCACAGAGACATCTAAATCCTCCACTGGTTTTCATTTAAGGATACACAGTGATTTCCAACCGTGCCACAATAAGCTGAGTCCATGTAAGGTTCTTATTTTGTCAACTTACTTGCATTTTGCAGCCAGTGTACTTGGGGAAAGTACGCCAGTACAATGATCTATTAGTTCTTTTGGGCCATAACAGTTTGTTTATGACTGATGAAAGCAACTTAATAAAATCAACTTAATAAAACGTAATAAAATCCTGTAGAGAACTCAAGCTGTTGAACCAGGTAATATAACTGACGAGTATGGCAAAAACAAGATTTCCGTCATTATGGGAGAGACGAGATTCATCTGAGCTCTGATAATACAACAGTGCTGTAAACTACTGAATGACTTCATGTAAACATGACCAACAACTGAAATTACTCACGACCGCCTGCCGAGCTGCTCTTTTCTTCTGAGCTCCACACTGACACAAGAAGCAGCTCGATTCTGCCGCATTTTGAAAGTGAGAAAATGAGCAAGTGATTTTCCCAGCAGGGGTGCGGTGAACGACGCATAGGTTCAACCAAACAGTGGCATAAAAAAAGACAACGCAGCCAGTCTGCATTTACGAGTCCATTATTGGAACATGTGACTCACAGCTTCGCAAACTTTAAGAAATATTCCACTTTATGTTGTTTGTTAATAGGGAGCTTCAATTTCTTTTATATACAGTGCATGAACTGAGGGGGTGCATTGAGGTCTGGTATAAGATAGAAAAGGATTATTTTGAATAGTGCACAGCTACTCTGATAAAGTCATAAGGTCAGTTGCTGCGATTCATCCTCTTTGTAGCTCTGAATATCGTCTCAGATTTGCCTGAAAATGGTAAATTGATCTGTGCCTGTAAAAGGTGAACTTTAAAGAAACAATGACGCCTTATTATGTTACTTATTTCACTGTTTCATATATATATATATATATTTTAAATTGTCATCTCTCATTTCGGTGTTTCTATTTTAGTAACTTTCAGTTTTATGTTGACTGTCATTTGTCTCTGATGTGTTTTAGACACAAGAGACTGCTTCCTTTGTCTCATTGTCCTTGTTTCCCAGGTGTTTCCACTCCTCTGATTAGTCCTCATTGGTCTCCTTGGTGTTTGTTCTTAGAACTTTGGCATCTCATCTAATAAAAGGTTGATTTTAAAGATTACAAAAAAGTTTATTTGTCATCATGGAGCATTTTGTGTTGACTGATGAGGAGAAAAAATGAGCTGAATCCATTTTCAGAGGAGCCTGAAACACTGAAAGAGATCTGAAACCTTTCTCAAGTCATTGTCATTAACATACTCAACTCTGAAATTTCCGGGAGGTGAAATGGGCCTCACGTGCCAAACATTTCATTACGTTTGGTGACTTAAATGAAGAAGCAAGATGTGATCTGAAGACTCTCAGTTGAGTGCCACTTAACACCATCAGAATTAGATTAAACACTGTCACGTTATTGTCTACTAATGATTCTCCCTGTGAAAAATCTAATTTAACTTGGCACTATAACAATTTGTGCCAAGGACTGTGTTCACATATCCAGAAGCCATAATCTTGTATAATAGCTTCATATTCACAAACTACTGTTTCTATTTGCATCTCCATCTGCATTTTCACTTAATGTAATTGGCTGTTGTTTTTTTTAAGTCCAAAACCTTCAGCACAATCAAGCACAATGGTGATGGGCCAGATGAGTCTTTAATGACCAATTTACTCATTTTACTCTTCATCTCATCCAAATCTTGGCTGGCGTTGGAGCAGGAGATGAAGGGAAATTAGGAAAGAAAGCTGGCAGAATTAAAGAAAGAAACAAAGGCTAATTGGAAGAGCATTTATCGAATGATACGGGACATTATAACTTAATATACTCTTTCAATTACAGCAGATATCAGCCTTTGATTTCACAACTCCGGAAGACGAGATAAAATTCCCAGTGTTGGGCTCTTTTGGGGGAGAGATTTATTTACTTTTGCATCTTGTCTGAGTTGATCTATCATCTTTTTTTTGTCTGCTTATCTGCTGTCTCTCTCTTTATAATCTAATTTTATCCTCTCTTTTAAACACCTCAGATATAATATGTGAACAGCGCCGTAAAGGAGAATATGAGATCGCTTTGTCATTCTCTGTTTTGCCTACTTCTTCTTTATTCTTCTTTTCCTTAAAAAAATAAACGTTTCAAATAATAATCAAAAAGGACATTTGTTACCCCGAGCTCTACAGTAAATTAGGGTGTGATTTCCTGAGCTACTTTATTTTTCAATGGGTATTAGTAGTTAGCCAATGAAATCCCATGAACTGCTGCCATGAATACATATTTTTATTCTCAGGGGAAACAATGCTGTGCCCCAGTTTCTAAACAGTGTGTGAGTTATTTGTTATATTATTTTGTTATTCCTTTAAATGTGCTTTTTTGTTAGTTTTGAGTTCTTTACTGTCTTATTCATAAGTATATCTGTGAATTTTAACAGTAAAGCCTTCACTTTTAATTCCTCCTTTCAGCGGGACAAAGGTGTGGTTCATACTGTTGCTGTAAAATATACTGGCTGTCATCATGTTTATCCAGGGCTGGATTGCCAACACTAATATGGGAAATATGCCACTTTTCTGCCCGTCACAATCTCAGTTAATCACTTCATATCAAATTCTACCAAAAACTGTTAAGAACACATTGCTCCAAAAACCATGGCTCCATGAGAACAGAACCAAAGCGGGGAGAAAAATAATACGAGCGATAAAAGGAAACAACGGTTCTCTGAAGATGCTTTAAATCTAACAATGAGGAAGAAAACAAATGTTCTCATGTGCACTAGAGCATCATCATGAACGCAACAATACAATCAAAGTGGACCGGAATAGTTATTAAAAGTCAAGAGATACTGATGGCGGGGTAATTCTTCAGACAAGACTGTTAGATCAAACATGATAAATATCTAGACAAGGATAGATGACACTGTGCACACAAAGACCTGCACACACCTCGGCACTCCATCAGCCTCTCCCTCCCCATCTGTTAAGTAATTGGAGGTACAAAAGCATTATTTAACACAGCGTGACGCCCGTCTGCCACTGAGCTCCTCCGCTCTATTGACTCAACTCAGAAAGTTTCAGTTTATGTTCCATTAATGCCTCAGCAAAGTAAACAAGGAATTATTGTAAACACAGACTCCCATTGATGTTGAATTTAAATGTAAAACAAAGTGTTTAAAGGCAGACTTTAACATTATTAAATCATTAGCAAAATAATAACCAAGACCTAAAGAATGGACAGAAATGTCCATTACTAAAGCCCCATTCAAGCAGGCCCAGAGAACCCCTAGCAACCAACAGTAACCCAGTCACCAGAGAAAAGTGTGTTATTTCCTGACAGGTTAGTGAGTGGTGGAAGTCGATATCTTCCATGGAAACTATTGATCTACTAGTAACTAAAGCTGCTTCTTTCCACATGACTTTACATGGTTAACAGATAGCAACAGCTTGCTAACTATGAAAACATACTGTGTGGCTCGATGCTCCCGCGGTAATCAAGTCTCTGGGTTTAAATCTGCTGATTGTTTAAAGAGTTTGCAGAGGTGATGAAGAGGAAGAGGTCTTTCTCTTTTCAAAGGCCTGTAAAAATGGCTTTTTACTTTTTTCTTGTTAAACAGTTACCAATGTAAATTAGATTATTATCCTACTACTATGTAGGAAAGTATGAATGTCAGACTTTGTGTCTAATTGTGATTTATATTCAGGAATGGGCATTCTCTGGCATTATTAATTTCATTGCTCAGTTCATCTGCAAAACATCATATTATACAAAGCATTTATGCCACTGGCAATAAGAACAAAAACACTAGATAGATGACTTGCAGGGAGTTGGTAACACATTCGACATAAAACAAGAAAAATATCAAGAAAAAAATGGGCCGACAAATATTTATTTCCCCCCTGTGGATTCAACCTTCCATCCAATGAAACTCGTCCAGTGGGTGTTTCCTCAGGAAAAGAAAATATTGAGCAGCTATGTACATCGCTTTGTGAGCGGCAAATCAACTTCTTCGTAACTTGGATGTCTTTATGGATCTCAGCGGACCAAATGATAAATAAATAAATCTTCAGATGCAAGGAAAAAGGCAGAACACAGTTATGTAGAAATCTACGAGAAACTGACCCTTGTCTCCTGTAATCCATGACATCAGAAAACATGATACTTTTTCAGTCATTCATTTTGAATCTTTTTAAATAAAATATGTGGATAATTTTGCACATCATGGTCCACATTGTGGTCAAAAACAAGAATAAAGGAGGGTTTGCTTTACCTCACAGCTGACTGCTAGCTGAGCACCCCTCGCTTGTCACATTCAGTTTCAAATTACCAGAGTGAAAACAGTTTGAGGCTTTAAGACAGATCCTCACTAACAGGTTGATGATGTCAACCTGTTAGTGAGGATGGCTGTGTTGACTGAACATGTAGTTACATTTCTTGGGAGGTGTGTGTCAGGTTAGATGGGAGGTTACGGCATAGGTTTAAGAGGGGGTTCAGCTTATCTCTGAAGTCATGCCGTACATTTCCAGCTGAAGCATAATTCAAACATCACTGCTTGACTGGCAGGTAGTTGAGACTGTAACGTGTGCCTATTAGCTTTAATTGCCCTCCTGTTCTCTTTGTGACTAAAGAGGGAGTAAAGATGGGGTGTGTGCACGTGTGCATTTAGGGGGTGCATAGTGGCAGTATTAAAGAGAACCAGCTGTGTGTCTCTGCTAGAACATCATAAGGTGATGAGAATGGAACTCACTGTGCTGGGGGTAATTAGAAAGATTTACAAGTGGTGCTCAGAGGGCTGCCTGCAGTGTGGTGTGTGTGCTTGTGAGCAGGTGGTATATGATGCTGGTAGCATCATTTAACACTGACTCCATCCCACTGAATTTCTTTGATTTTGATTTCTTTGAAAGTAATTTTGTTTTTAGAGGACTGTGCGACCTAGATAACTAGATTAGTGTCTGAATGTTTTATCATTGATTTTGTATTTGAGCATGGGCTGTATACTGAAGATGGATGGTGGCTGATCAATCACAGCTTCACCAGCTGATTAATGAAGTCCTGTTCTAAAGCCTTGAGTTTTGCATTTTGGCCACCACCACGTTGGTGTGTTGGAAGAAGAAGCGTCCATATTTTGACACGATGGTGGATTACAAGAGTTAACAATAACCTGCTTCACACAGACATACAGATGTCTGCTAGTTAGTTAGGTCTAGTTAACAGACTCCATACCTCTATGAAGTGGGAAATTAACAATCGAGACAAAAACCAGCCTATAAAACATGTTTTACTGCAATAAAGTTTCCATAAAGGAGACTATAAAGACCCGTGTGTCAAGTGCTCATTTGAGGAAGTGCAACTTTTGGCACTTATTTATGGCCCATTTATCCTTACAATGCAAACTGTGCCAGATGAAAAAAGCAACATCATATACAGAGGGCGATGTTGCAAAAGTCTGAAAAGAAAAAGACTTGGTACTTTTTTCTCCTCTTACACCAGCGCTGATGTGCAGACTGTGTCTGAGTGGAGACACTTATCGTAATGTGGGGACTATTTCCTCCCTCAGTGCTGGCATAAGTGGTACGGAGCTGAGGCGACGTCACTGTTTGCAAACAGACCAATGTAGTGAGCTAAACCGCGGCTGAATTCTTCAGCGCTAACAGTATCCATTTGCTTTGGACATGAACACTTTCTTGGGCTGTAAAAATTTAGTCTATATAAAGAAATAAAAATAAAAAGCTTCCACAAATCAAGGCGACACCTTTAAATTGCTCATTTTTGAGTCAATAGGTAAAGCTAGGGCTGGTGCATAGTCAACATTTCCTCTTGAAAAGCTCCTTATTTTTTAAGCACTTTTAACATTGATCCAGCTTGTTCTCAATTATTTTTTTGTTGCTCAAGTAATCAATTATATGACTAATCACCTCGATGTAACCTCGGGCTAATTTAAAAACTTGGTGAAATAAAGAAAAATCCATAAAAATATCAGCAGCCTGTGGCTTTGATCCAAATTAAATGGCTCACCGGTGCACATAAGTCAAGCCGGGTGTGTATGACAGGAGAATGTAATGCTGTGTGCGTCTAATCTTCACTGTGGCCATGGAAGAGAGAGAATATGGTAAAGTGTTTTGAGGATTCATCCTTCACTAGATGCCCATTCATCACATAGCTTTGTTGCTCGTGGTGGTGTGGTGGCGGTGGAAATGAATGTGGTTGGAAATACTGTTGTGATAAGCCAGCCCGTCTTCAGTAAGTCTCACAGTACCTGTGTCCGGTTATTCTCGATCGTCTTCTCCAGCTCGGCCTTGGCGGCGGCTGACTCGTGCTGGTGGGTTTGTCTCAGGTGTTCGATGGCTGACGCGTGAATGTGGTTCAGCTCCGATCGCAGAGAGGCTGATGGAAAAATATGATCGAATACACGAATGTCAGGAGGTCACATTTCATTTGCACAGAGCATAACGCACATGATGAAGCAAAGCTAGTCTGCATATTTCAGATTCACTGTCACCGGGCACGCAAGACTTACTCAGAAAGCTCCTTTCAGCCTTTTGTCTATTTGCAAAAAGAGCTCATTACATCCAAAGGCATTCTTACCACATTACTTTTTTTTTTCTAACTTTGCCCATAAAGAGAATGCCTCTGCTGCCTTTACCCGAGTGGCCTTTAATCCTCACTTCAATGAACACCTTTTATTGCAAACAGTCTAATGGCTTAGAGAAGCATGGTGAGGGAACACACTGCTATTAGCTTTGAAAGACAAAAGAAGAACAAAGCCACGAACTGCACATGATTTCTCTCTGCAGTTCAAAACCAGTCAGAAGACGGGCAAACAGGAAAAACCAGAACATGCGAATACACACATATGGGGATACGATAGAAAAAAAGGTAAGAGATATAAGGAGGAACAGGTAATAAAACAATATTATCGCTGGAGCCTGCCAGTGTCAGGACCATGACATAGAGGGTAATGGAAGACCATTTATCACAGCACAGTACTGGTTTGTTGGCACCAATATTTGGTGAGGTTGAGAATTTACTTCACTTATGTGCTTATATGGTTTTGTTAGACTTTAGATCCTTGTTGATGTTTCATTTTACTCTGTTGTCCCTACACTGCATTATAATGAGAAAATAATAAAGACTAGATGTTTCTCCTGTCAAATAGCAACATTAACGTAAGACAGAGAAATGTAATAATGTAGTCTGTGATGAAAGAATGTCTGTCTACAGTCATGTAAAAAACATCCATATATCTTGCGTTCTGAAATTACAGCTATTATTTACGGAAATGCCATTTCTATAGCACCGCGGTGCAAGACCAGCTATCTAAATGCGCTTTAATGTTGTTCTACAGTGGGGAGGAAAGAATGTCTTTTGACAGAATGAGATCAGACCCAGGCTTGAGGAGGGGTGGTTAACTGCCACAATCGATGGGGATGGTTAATTGAAAAGAGACGACAACCGACAAACAGGACAAAACACAAACTGTGAGAGAGCAGGCAAAAATGATCACCCATCGTTCTACTGCATGACTTTCCCTCGGACCAAATTCTGAGTGTTTTATTGAAACAGATATCTCCCACAGCCGTCCTTTTTCACTTCCGATGTGTTTCCACTAGTTGGAAAAACTCCATGAGGTTCGGGGAAATGAGCCGTCTGAACAGAGCGTGGAGCAGGCAGTAAACATGACCAAGACTCACTAATGGTGAACGGACCAGGTTACCAGCTGCTATAGTCCAACACGTTCTGACATTAACAGAACGTTGCCATGGAGCTAGAACGTTGCCAGGGAGCTGGAAAATTACAAATTTGTGTCCTCACAAACAAAACTGGCTCAAATGTGTGATAATGTGACCTCATCTTTTCCAACTGTTCTCCGTCTGCACCAGCTGGGAATCCCTGAGCTGTGCTGATGTATCACAGAGAGGCCTGTACAAGTATATCTCACAAAACTAAAATACTGTAAAAATCTTCATTTTTTTCCACTTTTTAATTTAAATGGGTAAACTTTTATATATTCTATACAGATTTATACATTTAAAATGAATACATTAATACTTTCTTTGTTTTAATTTTGATTATTATGGCTTATAGGTCATGAAAATCTTAAAATATCTTAAATTATTTTGAGTTTGAGTAAATAAAAATTTAAACAGTATAAATACTGCATGATTTTATGCTTCATCTGCTCACAGAGATGCTGATTTCTTTTTCCAGTTGGACTTGCTCACAGTGCTGTCTGTGCTCCATTCGTCAGCCAGCTCACTTTTCAGAAATTGGACAGTTTTGTATTTTGAATCCTTTTTTGATTAAAATGAGAAAATGTTACAATAAAACTTATGATGGACTTGTGAGTTTTTTTCATGAGCTTTAAGCCAAAACCCAATCAAAATTTATAAATATTTAATAAATGCAGAATACATGAAAGTATAAATCCTGAAACAACTAACTTTTTCCTGGACATTCATATTATTGTAGATGCACTAGTACAGATGGACCCTGTCGCACACTTTTGCCTGCAGACTGGGGTCAGGTTACAAAAATTGGGGGATGCCAAAACAACACTGTGGTCTCGGGTCTCTCCTCGTCCACGTGCTGGCCTCCACCACTTGTTAATTTTACTGAATCTGTGGGAGCTCCGCGATGCCACCACCAAACAACTGAGTTTTTTTTACACACTGGCCAGCATCTGGCCAATCCAACACCTTTCATTGTTTATACCGTTACAAAAAAAAAATCAAAAAAAATCATCGGGCCAC